GAGCTCGGACAGAGGATGGATAACGTATGCAAGGGGGTTAAAAAGAGTCCACGCAAACATCTCGTACATTATGCGGAATTTCCACCCCACGGAAACCGGCCAATAAAACACCCCCGGAACACGGGTGTCGTCCACTCACCCTCTCCACCCTAACTGCATTGTCGAACTTTTTTCGTTTTCTTTTCCTTTTTTTTCTTTTTTTGTTCCTCGCCCTTCTCTTTCTACTAGCTCTCCTTTCTTTCTTTTTTTTTTTCTTTCCTTCCTCGGTTCTCGAAGTGCGTGTACACCCCCTCGATTACATTCGGAAATATTAGGGGACGTCCCACCGTTCGACAAACTATCAATTTATTCTCTTCTTCCATTGATTGGGGACCAATGTTGACGTTTTTCTATGTTTCTTTTCTCCTTTCTCTTTTCGTTTTTTCTTAGGGTTTAGGAGATGGCCGGTATTAGTTTGAGGAGTTACGGATGTTTTGGCCTTCGAAAATGCTGAGTTCGTGAGATTGGGCCATTTAGGCTTGGTCATTTATGGCGATCAACGGTTCCTTTCAATCGAGATCATTGTGGGGGGTGAATTTTTAAAAATTTACGTAGAATTTGGATATTTTCTGTTCTAAGATTCTGAAATTTTTATCTCTTCGTAATTAAGTCTCGAAGGATATTCTTTCACGGTATGAAAAGTATTAATATCAAATTGGTGTTTGATATTGATATGGAACAAGTATTGTAACGTTATAGAAAACTAAGAAAATAAAATGTATTACAATTGAGATACAGAAGATTTTGAACATCATTCGATTCTTAATAATTTTCCAGCATAATGGAAAACTTGAAATAATATCAAACACTTATAACAGATATGCACTTATATCGGATTGAAAAATTATTCAATAAACAAGACAATAGATAAGATAACTTAACTTCGAACAAAATCCCTAAAAAAAAAAAAAAATCAAAATCACCTTATATTCGTTATCGATCGCATTAACAATTAATTAATTAAACAATACCTTGTCGTTATTCGCCTTGTCGAATTCTCAAATTCACAAATTTTCCCGCTCGAACGGCGGAAACAACGGCTTCGATCATCTTCGGTCTCGAAGAGGAAGACGCGACGAGGCAAAACTTCTTGCACCGGCGAGAGAGAATCGAGAGAAGGATCTGTTGGCTCTGAAACTCTCGTCTACCGTCCAAATCTCTGTGGATCAGAGTCGGTCGTATAAATCATGGCCGGTTCAATGTTATCTCGCGCTTCCGGTTCGACGCACCGACATTTCGCGCACACCACCGCGGAATATTCCTATGTGGGGTGGTCTCTTCTGTGCCGCACGAGGAGGAGGACAGGGCACAAAGCATATGCTGCCCGCTGTCCACTCCATTTACTTCGCTACGTCATCTCTCTCTCGGACGGGGAAGATAACCAAGGGAAAGGGATTATGGGGATAGGGATGAGGTCGAAATTTCGAAAAATTGGAACGAAACTGCTCGTTGGTCAACCTCGTTGTCGAGGTTAGAAATAGACGAAAATTGATTCCGATCCTCCTCCTGTTGGAACTTGATTCTCGAAGAGTTGTTTTAATTTTAATTTTTCAAAAGAGATTTTTCAAATGTCGTTAAAGTTATTGGAAGGGAAGGTTAATTAAATTAAGTCGAATTTGATTAAATTTTTTTGATCGAAATTTTGATTTTAATTTTTCAAAAGAGATTTTTCAAATGTTGTTAAGGTTATTGGAAAGGAAGGTTGATTAAATTTTCATCTATCACGAAAGGTGATTTTTTTTCTTTCAATCATTTTGAAGTTTAATTAAATTATCCTATATTTAGATTCCAAGGATCGGATCTTTTGAAAATGTACGATACAATAGGGCAAAATACATCGTCCGATTCGTAAGTAAATATCTTTATCGGGATATAATTTTCTTTTTCACGCGATTGAAATTATCGATCGATCAGAATTATCAACCAATCAGATTCCATGACGTCTCAACAAAGCAAGTAATCGATCAACGATCACGTATCTAATTTATCGAATTATCTGTGATATTGTACTTCACTGTTAATTCACTGACACAATAACACGATACTTTTTCAACGAGTATCATTATTTTTACTATATAAATTTGTTTAAAAAAATTTGCTCCTATTTTAAACACTTGTTCTCTAAATAAAAAGATCATTTTAAATTTAAAAGATCCTATTCTAAAAAAAAAAAAAGAATCTAAGAATCTAACAATTTTGAAATTTCACAATATCACGACTGGAAATCCTAAATCCTAAAGAGATCCTAAAAGATAGAATCGTAAATTTGATGAACATAACAACTTGAACAATTCAATTTCGTGAAATAGAACTTAGTTTACTTCTTCAAATTGTATAATGTAAATTCGAGTGGATCATAATTTTGCAACGAAAGAATGAAAAGTTCTCGACAGAGATCGAATCGTGGTCCCCATCCAAGTTCGACAGGACGCCCTCAGGAAATCTAAACCGGTAACAAGATGGCTGCTCGGAAACGGAAACCGGAAGCTTGTCACTCAAGCTACACCGGCTTCCGGCGTGCCCCGAAAAAGGGAAGCGTTATGGAACGGTCGAGAAGAGAAATAAAAAGAAACGAGGGATGGAACAGGGTAGACATCTGTCTCGAGTGTATTGTTTTATCATGTTTCTCTTGTAATAATGTATGAATGTCTCTAAAAAAAATAAAAAATATTCAAAATTTGATCGAAAACTTCGGATATTGTTGAAATATAAAAATTAATTCTAAATTTTAATTTTTAATTCTTAATTTTCGATTACTCTAATCCTCTTATATTTGTATATATATATATTTTTTTAAATTATTATCTCCAATATTATTATTATCAGGAAATCAATCAAAGTCTACTTCATCATCATTACGAAAATTATTTATCATTATATACATCTGTATGATACAAAAAAAGTTTCGTGGAAAATGTCACACGATTTGATAATTTAATCATTACATCTGTTTAATTGAAGTAGTAATTGTGAAGTAGTTTTATTCGATATATTGGATAAGAAAATACGTCATCAGATATGAAAAATAAATATCTCATGACACTGTTTTCGTTTTATTTACATTTACTTTAAAAAATTACAAAAATATCTCAAAGAATTGTCTTTTATTATTCCATCGGACAAATAATATTAAAGGAAAATATATTTTATACTTTCAATTATATTTTTTCAAATATTTTTTCAGATGCATCTATATTTTGCATTTTATTCAACGAAAGGAAAGGGATAAAAGACAATGTATAAATTTGCTTAAGATTCGATTTTATTAAATATCTGTATCTGTTTATATTATTACTACTTGTATTATACACAATGTACATATATACAACCTATTTAACGATGTATTAATTACATGCTTCCTAATTAAAGGCGATAAACTGGGATTTCTGTATCGACTGTATCACTCTCTCTATACAATTATTATCTGCTCTATATTATCTCCTTCATTCCACGAAACGATCTTTACAAAAACGAAACAATTGAGAATCATTGTACTACAATTATATGAAAAAAAAAAAAAAATCTTCTTGATTTCATTTTTATAATGAAATTGTTTTAATAATAATAAAACAATAGTTATTATCTAATATTTTTCCCTCGACAAAATCAGAATATTCCAACACGTTTGTAATGAAAGATTGTTCCTTTCAGATTAAAATCTCATATTTTTAAAATTATTTTCTTTGTAAAATAATTATTATTATTTTATTCAATGAATTTTATTTATTTATTGTTTTGTCTCGTTTTATCGCGACTAATTTGATAGAAAATGGGACAATTGTTACATAAGCGATCAAGAATCTTTGCCATTTTGAAAAATGTTTCTGTAAGAAAATGAAAAGATATTTTAATTCAACCCCTCGTTTATGATTTCGTAGATGAGAATTTTTATTTTTAAGTACGAACGTGAGAGACACATATATACATACATACACGCGTATATTCACATACATGCTACACGAGCTAATGATAACTTTGTACAAAAGAGAAGGGAAAAAAGAGAAGAATCTCGAAACTGTGAATCTATCTAATGATCTACACTATTGATCAAAAGTTTAGAAAATATTATTGAACTTGAATTTCTGATTAATTTTGAGGTTATGTTTAATTCTATTTATTTCTATTCTGTTCTATATTTTATGGAATTTATTAAATAACTAACTTATTAATTAAAGTAAACTATAGAATATTGAATAAAATTGTTTAATTTTATTCAAAAATTAAAGTTTATTGTTAGATTAGATCAAATGTTTGATGATCAGTCGAGGATTAAACCATCTAACCTAACTCAAATTGTCGTAACGTTATTTATGATTCAATGCTATCACTTGAAAATTAATATATTAAGTTGATACTATAATACAGTGCAAGATTGTTCTTATAAATCTTTGACTAGATAACTTGACTGTTATAAATAAACAGAATTAAGATTTTTTTTTTTTTAAATTTGAAGATCTCGCGAGATCGAAGAACTAATCTCAAACTTTTGATCGACAGTGTATACCTGTTTCTTTTATTTCTCTACTTATTCACGCTATATCACTTTTACATTACGATTTTGGCGTAAAATGTTATAATCAGAAATGTTTAGAACACTTTATGCGACTCACCCTATTGATAAATTGGTTAGAAATTGTAGATACACATTTTAAGAGACAGACAGGATTATTATTTTTAAAAATAATAATTTTAGAAATATTCCAATTTTTTACTTATTCGAAAAATAGAATATCATATTATAAAACAAGCCATAATATTTTTAATTGCCTGATCAATTTAGAAGTTTAGAATTCGGATTAAAATGTACAGAATATCAATATTCAAATAATTTCAAACTGTTACCATTATTTTTCCAACAAATTTTCTTGATCCCCTTAAAACTTTGTATCCAAATTTCATCCAAATTTCTCCACGCGGTCATAATCGCGATTTATCTTTGGTTTTTATCTTCCGCAGGTAGCCGATAGAATCGACAAAACATAGACGCAGTTTAATTCACTCGAACGACACTTTCATCGATAAAAGTTTCATCGAATTTTCAAATTTCGCGTCGAATTAGGATAATGGTCGATCATCAACTTCGATTGGCAGCACACTCAACAACGAGAACTCGAGTTAAATTAGTCGAAGTTTCACAGGCAAACACTCGTTTCTTACTGTTAATCATCTAAGCTAATAATACGTTTGATTCTTGATAATCCTATGATATTAAAGTCAAAACGTTTCTTTTCTGCACTGGAATTCTCTTGACAGTTATGGGATGGATTATTGTTCGCGGTACTTGTCGATTTCTCTTTTTCTTCGATTGATTTTTTTTTTTATTTTCATATCTTTCCATCGTTTGTTGTTTCAAGATTCTTTGATATATGATGAGGAAGATAACATTTCACTTGATTCTTTAGATTATTGTTCATGAGAAGTTCGAACCCGTTACTATTGACTTAAACATATCCATAATCTTTCTCTTCCATCCACTTTACTTAGCTTTCATTGTTCAAAAATCAGTTTACAATTAGATTTCTTATCTTGTTTATACAAAAAATCCATAATTCTCTTCCAAAAAAGACGAAATTCTCCATAATTTCTCCAAAAATCTAAGAAATCTATTTTGTTCCTTCTCCTAATCCTTCAGATATTTCAAGTATCAATAATCAATGATAAATTCAACATCTCCTCCACTGACACAATCTCTGTGATGTACCAACTCGCCCAAAGATTTCTTCGAATCCTTCCAATCATCGAATCATCCACAATTTCCCTTTCCCGATGAAAAGACAAATCGTTCTTCTCGATAACGATCGTTAATTAACAACGACCTTCTTCTTTCCACCAAAATCTATACCACTGTACAACATCTTCGACTGTTTCGCCTTCTTCTCGATCGATCCTCCCTAGAATTATCCCAGCCATCGACAAACACCGACGAGTGATTCTCGCATTCCATGACGAGCAGTCCATCTTACCACCAATACGGTTTCTGCATGTACGGCGGCATAGGAACCTGGCCCGTGGTCGGATACGCGGCAGGCTCCATCAGCTTCGACTGGCAGGGCTTCCCGTCCTTGATCAGCAACGGTACAGCGACCCTTCTCGGCGAACATCCGCTCCCGCTCGCCTCCGTGGCCGCCCTTTTCGTCTTGTACCTGTGGTTCTGGAACCAGATCTTCACCTGGGTGGGGGTCAGCCGAATAATCGAGGCCAAGTGCTCCCTCTCCGGGGCGCTCAGGTATTTCTGCTGGCGGAAACGTCTCTCGAGCTCGAACGTCTGCGCCTTGGAGAACAGCACCCGCCTCTTCCGCTTTTTGTGCTCGGTCTCGTGGGGTTGGTCTCGTTCGCCTGCTGCTCGTCCTCGAAGTCAGCCGACTCTTCCTCCTTGCACTCGTGGCTGGCCTCCTGTTTCGGTGGAACGATAGATCCGAGATGGTCGGGCTGGTCGAGTCTGGTTGCTGCAACACTGGAATTTTTCGAGCTTTACGGTGTTGTAACGTGGAAGAAGTATTGGTCTTGTTTGTTGAGTTGTATCGTTTGATTGGAGGGATTTTTTTTTTTGGAAATTCGAATCGAAAGATAGAATTCGCGCATCTGTTTAAAAAGGATCTTTCGAAGGATTTGATTTTGTTGGAATGAGTTTACGAGCGTTTGACAAGGATTGAAAGATATTTATTAGAAATTTTGTAAAATAGAATTGGAATTAGTAATTCTGTAATAGTTACTTTTCTAAAAATCGATAAACGTCGTCGTTTGAAAAGGTATTTAGATCATTAGGAAAATGACTAAGGCATACTGCAGCTGCATTTTTTACTACCCCTTCTCGACTCCTAACGCTGATTGCAAGCAGATGCAAGCCTGTATTGATTACTTAATTCTCGTTAATAACTGCTTGCTCATCGTTCGGATACACTTTCCGTTTAAACCTATCGGTATAAAGTGGAAGAAAAAAAATTGGTCGTTAAAATATTAAAAAATATCACCAATTTTTTAATTTTAAAAAACACGAAGTATTTGCAAAAAAAAAAAATAATAACGAAATATCGATAGATTCACTGTTTAATCCAACAATATTTTGATTAGTCTTCGGCTAAAGTGGCAAATACCACGGTGGCCTAGAGACACGGTAATTTAATGTACAACGACGAGGTCCCTGGCTTCGTGAGCATACAATACGCTTTTGTGAACGAGTCGTAAGCCTGGTTGGGGAGGGTGTGAAGCAATATACGAAGCGTTTGATACCCTCCTCTACCCCATGGGATCGACTGTATCATTTTCATGGGAGATTAGGCTCCAGCCTCTGTCGCGTCGTGATTTCAATTAGACACTTCCCTCTTCGTTTCTCGACGTTAACGTCTTCGAAAATGAACGATTCGATTAAGTTTAAACATACGAAACGCTATTACAAATTTTAAATCGAGTAGAAATAAACGAATAAAGTTGAAAAAAAGAGAAAAACGTATGTTTACGATTTGACAAAATGTAAATCGAAACAATTGTTTATAAACTCGCCAACGGAATATTAATTCTACGAAAGTGGATCAAGTTTATTCATTTTCCTTAACTCTTCTAACTTTCTCTTCGATTTATCCAAATTTGAGAATTCGAGGACAAAATTTGTGCAATCGTATGCCACGAAACGATCGCAAAATGCGTTTTGGAATCCATCCCAGCGGTCGAAAACACCTTTTTGAAAGGGGTGAAATCCTCGATCGCTCGATGTTCGAGCTCGAGAAGAAGAAAAAGAACGAAAGGGAGATAAGGAGAAGAGGTGAAAAGAGGCGATAGGCTACGGATGGATTTTTTGGGCGTGACAATTTCGATTGATCGAAGGGCCTCACAGGGATACACGCATCTGCCCTCGAAAGGACATCTGTCCCCTTGCGCGGGCCAATCGGTGAACAGGGCCCACGAGGACCTTTTATAGGACCATTAGATCCTGCTTAGCCCGAGCGGGCCAATTGTAGGGTGCTAAATAAATAAGGGTTTCGAGGCTACGCACTACCTCTCACAAGTATCCGAATATTTTATACATTTGATTCGCACGATTCTCTGATAGAACGTATCTGTGAGACATGTAAATTAATCGTTTTTTACATTGAAATTTGAAACCCTAACAGCTCGTTCGTACTTAAATAGCTTTTAAAAGTTATTTATAATTTCAGATTTTTCTACTAGATTTTCTACTAGTAGCCAAAACTTTTAAAAACTCTTTTAAAGTTAACTATAATTTGATTTTTCGATCGAGAGGCGATGATTAATCGTTTCTTGGTAACCGTTCGAAGAGTAAATTTAACAATTGCGAGAGATATTAGAGAAGTAAACTCTATGCATGCTTCAAAAGATTCATAAAGAGTTTATTACTTACCGTTCACCTCTTCCAAAGGCTGAGGCAACGTGGTGGGTAACGTTGGACCGGTTGGCCATCCCAATAAAGCTGGCGGTGGAGGTGGTAACGTGCCTCTGTTCAGATTCGCGTATATCGCGGGCTGCAACATGGCCGTCGTGTGCTCGAAGAACTGTTGGTATGCCGACGGAACATCGTTCGTGGTCGGTAGCACCGTGGTACTACCTGCAACCAAAATTTCCAAAATCCAACCCCTTTAAATACTGACTCGGCAATACTTGCAATTTTCAAATTATTTGTAATTTCGATGAAAACGGACGCATTTATCAAAAATGCAAAATTTTTTCGAGAGAAGATTTGTTGAGATTCAAACAGGAAAATCATCACCCTACCTTGCACCTCCGTTTCCTCCTGGGATGGCTTCGAATCGAGCTGCAGAATGTCATGGATGTGAAAACTTGTGCTTCTGGGCATCTTGAAGCTCTCCAAAATTCTACAACAGAAAGATCATCGAAAAGAAACGATTAAAAAACGAATTAATCTTAAGATCGTGATTACGCTAACAAACTAATCGAACATCTACTTGAACGTGCATAACAGAACCATCCTAAATTATTGTCTTAAAAAAATGAACCAAAAGAAAGAAAAAGTAAGCACACGAGACTTCTTATAAAATCTATCTTAATATCCGTTTCTCTCTCGATCGATCTCTATCAATCGATATCTATCCGATTGAATAAAAAAAAAAAAGAAATGAGACGATCGGTTAAAACTTGGAGTCGTGGTTCGCTCGAGAACCCGTTCGTCGTTTAAAACGAAGAGCAGCCGCGAGTCGAGAAGTCGAGCACAAAAGCTCTCGCTTTTCAACGAGATCAATCCAATTTTCCAAGTTTTCCCGCGGCGTGACGAAGCGTCAAGAAGCCAGTGGGACGTTTTAAGTCCCGATTAGACGCGTTCCACATAGTGAAAGGGCCGGGGCTACCTGCAGCTCCGCTGCCAAACAACCTGTCCTCGAGCACAGAAGCGAATTTCTGCCCTTCCAAAGTCTAAGCCAAACGACCTATTATCGCGGCACGTTCGGCCACGTTCCCGGATGAAAGAACTGCCGCTTCAAAGTTTTCCTAATAGACGCCTGGTGACCGTACTGTCTCTTAATATTTGAGTTTCTTGGGGGAGGGGGTGGATGTCGTTTGGCGAAGAATTGCCTCGAAATTGTTCGTCTTGTCAAGAAGAGATTTATTTTGTGATTAAAAGACGAAAAAAAGTGATATATGTATGTTTGTAGAGAAATTTAAATTGATATTATTAATGGAAAGCAAGTAGAAGTGTAGACAGAAGAAACGTTCAAGTTTAATTGTTATTTTGCGAGTATAACTTCAGATTATTGTCAGTGGGTTTCCTAGGATTAGTTACAGCTTTTATAAACCTCAGTTCATGAGAATAATCCAATTTATTTCCTCTAAAGAATATAATAATCACTTAGTTGTATTTAGAAAATGAATAAAAAGATGAAGTTATTTACCTTAATCTCTATTATTCTGGTGAATAGGTATATAAGATAAAAGAAGATTTAGAAGAAGTTATAAATACTGGGAGCAAATTGTTAATATGGTTTGATAGATAATATTTGAATAGTAAATAATAATGATAATTTGGTAATTTTGAAAATTTAGAATTTAGAAGAGAGCAAATCTTTTTTCTACATTTAAAATTAATTTCTTGTAACAAAAATTATTATTAAAGGGAATATTAAAAATTGTAATATATTAATTCGATAATATATTACAATTTTTATTATACGTTATTATTTTGACATTTACAATTCTAAACAATGACCTTTGTTTCTTTCAATTTCGAGTAATTTAAAGTCAAATGCATATTGTAACGAACAATTGTATTTAGGATAATCCAATTTGTTAAAGAATATTTTAATAAAAGAAAATAAGAAAAATGGGACAAAGAAAGAAGTGTCAAATAAAGAATAAGCCGAACCTGAAGATTTTATTCTATACAAGCTAATAATAATTAAGCCAGGTAAAGTCGTATAATATATTTTACAGCATTATAAAATAATAAATTTTGAAAACGATAAAATTTTATTCTCTCCTAATAGATATAGAGAGATTTATTATTATTATATTTTTTTATTGCTTAAAAATTACAAAATTCCAAACTGATACCCAATTTTAGTTGAGGAAAACTAATAAAAAAAAAATTTCAACTTGTGCTTCAAAATAAAAACAATTGAGAGTTGAAACTTCGTTAAAGAAGAAATTATTTGATCCTAATTTTCACGCGTAAAACTATTCTCTAGCAATTAATTGAGAAGCCGAGGCATTGAAATCACCAACTGTTCTAACGTAATTAAAGAATCTATCGTTCAAATTTTAATTTCCTCGTCGAAATTCGATTTTCTTCTAAAGTTTCTTTTCATCTCTAAGCTTGTTAAAATATTAATGAAACCATACCTCGATTATCGAATTTAGTCAAAGATTACGACATGCGAATGTTTCGATAAGGCATGATACATCGATGAAGCCACGTGCAAGAATTCGAGGGACATCAAGATCTCGATTACGAGACAATAATATTATCGATTAAAATTATCAATTACGAGAATACTTTCTCGCTGATCTCAAATCATTTTCGAATCCTGGTTATTCTTTGGAAAAATTAATAAATCAATAGATTGCGATTTATGAAATAATAACATATTAATTGCGTAGATATTATTTAATCAAAGGATTAATATTCATAGCGAATTTTAAATTCTATTCCTTCTTTCGTGCATTAATACGTTGCAAAAAAGGAAAAAACGATATAACTTGGATAAGAAATTTTAAGAAGGAAATTTACTATGATTAGAAATTATCAAGAAAATAAACTGCATCTATCTAATTTCACTTTCAATTTAATACTCGTATCAAGATTATCCTTTATCTATAAATCTATAAAATCTTCATTTATAGTATTAAAATCAAATTAAGATCTCGAGAAACCGCTAGATCATAACACAATAACGCCTCTTTTCACTCGATAAATTTCCAAGGAAAATTGCGATTAGACAACTGTCGAAAAATCAAACCACTCTTCCTCGCTTTCAAATAAAATTCTACGACAAACCAAATGAAAAAGCTAAGCGACACAACATTCTGCGCCAAAAAACTCATACTCTACTGAGCCAACTAAAAAAATCAGATAACAAACTCCACCCTCTTAATCGATATCCACATTAAATATCCACGATAATATAAATCCACTCATTCCACTGAAAGATTCTGAAACTGAAACGCATGCGAAAATTCTGCAAAGAATTAACCGCGTGAATGCCCGTTCTAACACACTCGAATTCTATATATATATATATATATATATATAATATATAATTGTGTCGGAACAAAATAAGCTACATAC